TTCAGTTGTTGCGTAGGAAATCAATTGGCGCAACAAGCCAGGTTGCGGGGACTGTGCAGGACCAACACCGCGTTATTGTTGCAGACGTGTCCAATCCTTGATGAAAGCCTGGCGTGGGTGGGCACCCTGATCAGCATGCTCAACCTAGGGGTTTTGGGACCCGGCCCCAGGGGTTTGAGGCCCGGGCCCTCAGGAGCATGGGGCTTGGGCCCCCAAGCGTCAATTATGCGCGCAGAAGTCGCGACGGCTATTCCCTAAGCCCTACACCTTGCTGTTTCGATGCAACAAGATGATTTCAAAGTAGGCTGCCGGGACTGCGCACAGCAAATCAATCGGTGCAACAAGCCATTTGTCCAGGCCTTCGTGAGCCTAGCTTGGGGTGGCCCCTGATGAGCATGCTCGGGCAACCAGCCTGACGCCCAACGAGGCCCGGTCTCCAGGGGCTTGGGGCCTGGGCCCCCACCCAGCCCCCCAAAAGCTTGAAGTGGGAGTCGACGGAAACGGCTGCCTCGGAGGTAGGGGCCTGGGAAACGCAGCCGGGATACCTCCCCTTCCCCCCGCCCCCCCGCCGTTTTTTGCGCTGTGAGGGAGAAGAGAAGAAGGTTTTCACCCTCTCCGTCTACTGAAACCATCCAACGCGCCCTCCAAGGTCGGCGGACTTTGCCATTTGATTAAAAACCGTTTTCAAACATGGCTCGAACTCGACACCCCTGATAAGTTCCTACACCTGAACATGTTAGTCCTTTAATGTAGTCCCTGAAATGGAATTACATCAGCACCACTTTTGGATCGTCCTTCTGCCCTGCGCACGCCATGCACTTTGCTGCTATACAAGTGTCAAACTGCCTGCCTTCGTGATTTCTAGGCATTCTGTTAGCTTTCTGCCATGCTCGTCCCTTCCTTGTGCCCGTGCATCTTTCTGAACCTCTCTCTTGCTGCTTCCACTGAAAATGTGGCACGGAGGTCAGGGCCTGGGATTGCCGTGTAGAGACTGGACGCTTTTGAGGACCTTCAGGATCTTCAGGTTTCCAGCTTGAACCTCGGGATGCTCATGCTTCTGAGGACTGGTGTCCTTGTGGTGTGATATGTTTTGATAATTAAGGCCTAAGTTCTAGCCATAGCTATAGCCCTCAGATGACCAGAATCATTCTGCATGTGACCTACTTAACTTGCAATTTTGTAGCTCCATCTCACCACCGATGCGCCATCCCTCTTACGTTTTTGTTGATTGCTTCTGATTTTTTTGGCCTTCGCTGAATCGGTTCCTCCTTTACTTCTGCCGTTCTGACCTTTCCACTTCAACGCTGTTCGGAAGTCTCATGCAAGATCATGCTCAGGGGCACGTGAAAGGCTCGAAAAGCTTCTTAAACATGTGTTGACAACTTTTGTAGATCCGCTAGCTGCTAGAGGATGACGCTTTGATCTTGCAGGTTTGATGAGCAGGACAGTGAGTTCTACAACGTTAGGGTGCGCCCGTTGCCTGTTTTGCAAATCTGCATGTGAGCTTGTAAGTACACAGCTTATCTCTCACGTGCTTCTTAGACATCTATGTTCGGACTCTGAAGAGCAAGGGGCGTTGGCACCCCAGCGCGACATTGAGACATGAGCGGCTGCAGGCCTTGAAGCCTCCTGGAGAGGAGGACCAAACCAAGATGCAGGTGCACTTTACTTCTGCACTTGCTGTTCTTTTGCTGATGCCCTTAGCACAGGCCAAGGCTGTGGCAGCACAAGTTGTTCCCATATGGAGATCGGTTAAATGATGGATCACATAGCAGGTCGTCGTGCCTGATGGTTGTGCTTTCTTGTCTGGAAGCGCTGATCCGGCCGTGGTACAGTATCAAGCGGGGAACATGAGTGCAAGCGGAACATAAGTGCAAGCGGTGAAGTCAAGGGAGGACTGTGATGTCAGAAAGCTCGTCCCGCGAACAGAACAATAGCGGGATGAGATGCATACAGCTCTCCATATGTTCTGGCAAGTGAAGCAGTCGACATCGGTATGAATGTCATGAGCAAAAAGCTGTGATAGCGGCAGCATGTCTGCGTCGACATCACGATCTGTGTCCACAAAGGCAGCTTGTGAGTTACTGCCAGACTTTCAATTCGCAACTTGGTACATGCTGCCTCAAGGGCAAGATTGCACATTCGTCCTCCAAGTGCGCTCTGGAGGCGAAAGATTTTTCACATCTCTTTGAATGAAGTTCCGTCCAATCTGTGATGTCCAGAAGCCAGGATGCAGCAGCCTTCGCGTGATCTGTGGCAGCGGGTTCCTGGCTACACTTCTGATGAGGTCCGCTACAGGACGCCGGGTGGCATGCTGCATAAGCTGATGCTGTTCAGGACGAGGATGTTGGAAGCGAGCCTACTGCTGCACAGCTTGAAGGTCGGCTGCTGGAGGCCAGTCTGTAGCGGCTGAGACACGAGACTTGGTCAGCGTGTGCTGCTTGAGTTCTATTCTGGCACTTTCCAGGTGTTCTGCTCCCTTTCCAGCCGGGGCATGGATCGCCCCATGATGCAGTCCCAGCCTTGTGCAGTCTGAAGTCTTTAGCTCCCAAGTGTTGAAAAGAGCGGCACATGTGGATAGGTTTCGGCCGGTGCCACTGCCAGGAAGCAAGGCTGCTTCACAGTCTGAACCCAAAACTGCAGCTCCAGTTGCCTCAGAACAAGGCTAATGCATGTGCTCCGCTTGCTTCAGGACTGCTACAAAAAATCGGTGCTCGAACACTGGGCCAGCATTTTTCCTGAACGCTGTGGACGCTCCTCTACTTCAGGAGACCTTCCAACACAACAACATGACTCCAACCCTAGGGAGCGACTTTGTGATTCAATGGTCTGGTCCCAACATCAAAGATGCTGTGTACCAGGGTCTGACTGAATGGCAGAGGATCAATCACTTCCCTGGCTCAACCGAGTTGACTCGAAAGGACCGATTGTGGCTACACTTTGCAGAGATGGCTCGGAGTCATGGGAAACAGTGCTTTGATTTCGTACCAGAGACCTATGTGTTGCCGGATCAGTTTGACGAGTTTCTGACTTGCTATCAAAGAACTCGTTGCACCTGGATCGTGAAACCAAACTCGTCTTCTCGAGGTCGAGGCATTTTCATTTTGCAAGATCTGTCAGAGCTGCCTATTGACGAGACTGTCGTGGTGTCCCGGTACATTATGAACCCACTTCTCATTCAGGGGCTGAAGTTTGACTTGCGTGTCTATGTCCTCGTGACTTCCTTCGAGCCATTGAAAGCATTCATTTACAGGGAAGGTCTGACGCGCTTTGCCTCTGCACCCTACAGTACAGAGCCGGATCACATGCAAGATGCCTTCCGGCACTTAACGAACTACTCCATTAACAAAAACTCCTGCACGTTCGTGGAGAACAGTGATCTCAGATGTGACAACATTGGCCACAAGTGGAGCCTGTCTGCATTGAACAAACACCTACGCTGTATAGGAGTGGATGTTGGCCTGATGTGGACTCGCATCATGGACCTGATTGTCAAGACTTTGCTTTCCGTTGAACCTGCCATCAGCAGCCGAACGAGACAAGTGACAGCGGGCAGGGAAAATTGTTTCGAGCTGTATGGCTTTGACGTTTTGGTGGATGATGAGCTAAAGCCATGGCTACTTGAGGTAAACCTCAGTCCAAGCATGCAAGCCGAATCACCGCTGGACTGGCAGATCAAAAGCTCGTTGCTGGCTGACACCTTCAACATTGTGGGCATTTGCTCATCGGACCGATCGAGTCCCAAAGTTGAAAGAACTCGAAATTTGTACTCGCAACCCTGGAAGCAGGCCACCAATGGCAAAAAAAGCGAGCCTGTGGAGGAGAGTATGCAGGTGGATGAAAGCCTTCCACCTGTGGTCCTTAGTGCCTTGCCTGATACAGCTCTCAAGATGATCGTCAAGTCCATTGGCGAACGCGCACGCTGTCGGAATTTCGTTCCGCTTTATCCAACACGAGCAGCCGTGAAACGATATGGCGCCATTACAGAGGCCCGTGCACAGCCTGGAACGATTTATCAAAGCCCAACGTTTCTCACTTCTCAGTCCTTGTCGCTTTCCCAGGTGTGGGCTTCAATCCTATACGGGCCTCGTCCGCTGCGTTCGGTTACAGAGATCAGACAAGACCAGCGGCTTACAGACAGCCAGGCACAGGCTCCGACTGCATCTCTTTCAGAGCCACATCAGACGGGTGTGGCCGACCTTGAGAGCATTCTTGGTGCGGTAAGACCTTGGAAGGATGCGGCCTAAGCAAGACTCCAGCTTTTTTGTTGTGTGTTCCCTTGCTGCAGTGCTGCCAGTGTTCTTGAGGAATCATGGTCGGGAATTCCAGCGTCACCGCTGCCAGCCAGCGTGGCTGATCCAGGAAGCAGCCTGGAAGACCGAGAGGCGGGAATAATCAAGACATTAAATCAATCTTGCTAGGTTGTGTTTCAGACCTGCCAGTATGCACTGATGGCTGCCCGTCGATCCCTACGAGCCCTTTCAGGACAAGTCAACTCAAGCATGAAGGTATCTTCTTCTGGCACGGCAGTCCCTTGAATCAGGACAGTCATTTCGAGAGTTGAACGGAAAGGCTGGACTTACGTCAAGCCGACAAAGCGACTGTCACTACCGCAATGAGTTAAGGCCCGCACCCAAGCAGAGCACCATGAGGAGCCCGGTATTGAAATTTGTGGCACGCGGTAGTGGTGGTCACGGTGCAGGAGACGGTAGGCAGCATTTCCACAATGAACGCTGCACCTTGCCAGACCCATGGCGCTCAACAGCAATGGCAGGCTTTCATGCGAAACAGCTTGTCTCCAGGTCTGCTGCTCATGGAATACCTTATGCGAGTGGAGGCTTCTGCATCCAGTGGAGCAACGTTTGTACTAGGATGCTGTGATTTTCACTTCTAGCGGCTTGTGCAGCCCTGGGCTTTTAGACAGGACATGCTTGGCCTCAAACGGGGGTACCTGAAAGCCGTGTCAGGCGGCAGCCTGCGAACATCTGGGGCCAGCTGCTCGTGCACGATTGGCCAATGCCTTCGAGAAATCTCTGCGCTTCGGACTTCTGATCGTTCAATGCCTTGGCCCAGGTTCGGAGCGCGTCCTATGCCCGGCTGTCCAGCTTCCAACGGCAGCTCCCCGCCTGCGCCTTAGATGCCTCAGGCACAAGTTTGGTTGTTTTTGGCTAATTCTGCATCGCTACCACGTGATACGCATGCGAGTCAGGTAGCGGACGGATTCCGAAGCAACATGCCTGACTGCCCACAGGCTTCAGCGAAAAGGTACATGAATGACTGCCTGAGTTCTGCAAATCCGCAGGCGAACGAAGGCAGCCTCATTGAGGATTTGGGTGCTGCATGTCGGCCTCGCTGGCTGTGTCTGATGGCTCCACAAACCACATGTGCCCATGACCCCTGAGGCCGGCACAGCCTGGATGCCTTGGAGCGGTTGGCATGGGAGGCAGAGCTTCAGGTGTACAGCAAATGTGCCAGAGAGTCGTCAAGCTTAGGAGGTGGATGCTGAGGGCCACGAGCATGACAGCCGTCGGGATCACTTCGGTACTTTCTGATGTTGAGGATCAGTGAGCACAGCTGCTTGTGATGAGTGTGCAGTGCTGAGGTAGTCAAGCCAGGATGATCTCCAAGCGCCAGGCGCTCAGCGCAGGAATCTTCAGGCTGCAAATAGTTGCTCTCTACCGCATGATCAGAAAGGTCTACCAAAGTCGCTGGCGCACAGGAAGGAGTGCAAGAAGCTGCTCAAGGCATCTCAGCGACCTCAGAACGCACAGAATGCAGTTTTGCTACAGGTGCTGCCAGAACTGCGTGCAGCTGACCTTGAAAGATTGCTGCAACGGCCCCAGCCTTTTTGAGACGGATATGATGTTGCTTTCCAACAGCTTTGCTCACTAAAGCTCACTACAGCTGGAGATCAAAGCGAGTGCCTGAGGAGCGGGTCCTTCGCAGCCGCGAAGGAGTCCCAGCCAAGAAATGACAGCTTTGGCTCCCTGCCACTGCCTTACTTGATGGATGCTTGACTGACTCAGATTGCAAACTATACGGATGCACTTCCCGGGGAACAGGGAACAGTTTGCAATGTCCAAGGCAGGAGTGCCTTGAGCAGATTGTCGTTCCAGAGGACCTTCTGTTGATTACTTCCTTCGCAGTCGGGGCCACTGCACGTGCTTGAGACTTCGGCCCAGTGAAGGCCCCGATGGAAAAGGATCTCCACAGGCACGCATGCATGAATGTTTTCGACACTTGACTCGAGAAGGAAAAGCTTTGTTATGTGCTTTGCTGCGAGGTCCAGCTCGCTGCCTTCCAGTCCCTTCCTCGGGTGAAGGCACTGATTTTTTTGGAGCATGTTTCGTTTTCTGAGGTCTCTCGGAACAAACTTCATCACCTGGCATGCGCTGACCTTACGTGGCTAACTACAAATAGGTTTATGCAGGGAGGCGTATTTTGTATCAGTTGTCGGTCATCATGTTCATTCCTGGTTGCCTTAACCCAAGGGGTCAGACCCTGCATTCTACCCATGAGAACTGCTATGTGGGAGGTCAACCCTTAAAATTTCATCCAGATAAAAGTCCATGCAGATTGAGTTCCAGTAGCACCCCCATCTTTTGTAATGCTTCGCCCCAGTGCAAGCTGAACTTTGTTTGATTGGCTGCCAAAAGGGTGCGGCTCTAGTTGTCGCTAGATCCGATCTTTAATCCCCGCCGTGAGGGATGGTTCACAGGAGCTGCGGCCAAAATTGTCCAAGACGAGTTCATGAAACGAATGGACACGAATTTGGCTGTCAAAGCTAAAGCAACACGGCAGACTGAGAAAGACACAGGATGCTTGACTTAAGGCACCCTGCGTAGGCAAAAGGCGTCTTACAAGCATGTCACGCTGGGGATCCCCATGTTGTACCATGTCTGTCGCATTTTGTATCCTGTCATGTGCCGGCCGCGTGCCTTTGAAGTGCATTTTGGTGGGGAGCGTAGTAGTTTGGGTGTTGGCCGAGTCAGCCGCAAGGGCCCTGAGTCAGAAGCGGAGGAGTTGAGAACAAGGCAGGGGCAAGTCAGACTTGGACGGGCCTCAGTCAGGAACGGACACAGGGGGAGTCAGAAACAAGTGTCGGGAAGAAGACAGAACAAACGAAGCGGTCTATGGTCTAGGGTTTAGGGTTTAGGGCTTAGGGGTTAAGGTTTAGGTTTTGGTGTCTAGGGGTTTTAGAACTTTTAGGGACCCTGAACTAAGCCCTAAACCGCGTACAGGCAGACCAAGGGAATGGCTAGAATTTCTGCTGTTCCTAGAATTTCTGCTCTTCCTGACTCGCTGCCTGTTCATTTTCAGCTTGCCCTCTTCCTGTTCTTGACTCGCTCCCAGGTTCTTTCCAGCCAACCGCTGTTCCTGACTTGCCCTGTTCCTGTTCCCGACTTGTGCGTCTGATTCGCCCCTCATCTCCGGTATTTTTTGGAGGCTTCTGTGGCAAGGTCCCGTCGTAGATGGCTTTCGCGTGGTACGTTTCAGTGGTCTACATGGGAATTTCGGCTACAGATTTGGATGCATACCATGGTTTCAGAGCTGCGGCCTACATCCCGAGCACAGTTGGTTCGTTTTGTTAAGATTGGAACGCAAGACATGCAAGACGTGATAAACGTCTACATGGGGATTTGAAGCCCGTGGGGTGCCTTCAGCCTACCGGGGGGGTCCAAGAACAGTGGGGCGCCTTTTGCCCGCACAGGATGTCATAGGCGCTCATTTGTAGCAACAAGGCGGTGAAATCCGCATTGCGTTTTGTAAGTTGAGGAACATCCAGATTACACCAAAATCCAACCAACCCTGTCCTCCACATCAACAATGAACCCAGCCCGCTCACGGAACGTGGATTCCAGTAGTTAGTTAGCTAGTAGCGCAAACCAACCAACAATCAGCCGGTTCACAGAGATGTGGATTCCAGTACTTCCACGATACCACAAATCAGCGAGAATGCAGCTGGCTCACTACTTCAAGCAAGAATGCTCCAAACAAGGGTCTCGTTGCAAGCACTGCAGATCAACTCCAGCTGGCGCACGGAAATGTGGATTGTATGTCAACTTGACACTTATAAACACCCCCCGCCCATGTCTTGTTTTGCGTTTTTGGTCTACGTAGGGAGTGTCGCAATAATAAATCACAGGGTACGGTGGGGGTAGGACCAGGTAGTGCAGGTCATTAGTAGTAGTACAAGTAGGAGGAAATCTACTAAGATCGGGATGTGTTGGGGTAAACATTATTTATGTTGCTACACGCTGGAGCTGGTTTGTACGTTTTCGGGCTCCGAACTTGTTACAAAGCAAGCATAGACTTCCGGAGTTTTTCTGGTCCCGCGGGCACTTGACCCCCTTGACCCATTTGCTGGGGCAAGTGGGTCATGCGGTCAAGTGGATGAAGTGGGGCAAGTGGGTCAAGTGTGAGTGGGTCACGGGGGTGAAGAGGGGCAAGTGGGTCAAGCGGGGCAAGTGGGGCGAGTGGCCGCCCCTTTATCCACCCCAAGCCGACACTCTCCAACACCAGGCCGTGCTACAAATGAACGGAGATCCGGTTGGCTCACGGAAAACGTGAGATGCGGATTCTAGTTCTGTGCTAGCGTTAGAAAGCCAGCTGGGCCACGGAAACATGGATTCCACTACTTTTGACCGTGGCTCACACCGTCAGCCGAGGATGGAGGGAACTTTTAGCACATGTGCACGCCAAGCACACGCTATCCAGGGACAGAGGCAAGCTCACCCTTGCCAAGCGAATGGTACGAGAAATGCTGCAATAATGATAGCATTGCTCGGCATTGATCTCCAGACTGAACCTTGAACCTCCTTCAAACCATTCACCTCCATCCAGTGTAAAAGCTTGTGTAGCATTCAGTCATTAAGCGAAACTGTTGGCTCGAGAAGTGGAGTTGTATCTGAAATGGGCAGACCTTTGAGCTTTGCGGCCCGGCTGCCCTGCAAAGCAGTGTTCACAGTCCTCGTAAACAACTTATGTTCAGGGACACAGTCTCAAAGCAAGGAGCGCTCAAAAAATCGGGCGGAGGATATGTTCTTCTGACGTTGCTTGGGCAGTAGGAATAAGGCGTTTGTAATGTTGCGTGGTTAAGCCCGTGTGAGCACGAGAGCATGAAGCGGAGAGAGAGACAGCGTGCAAGGATGCGATCTGGATCCTATGTGTTGCCTGCCATTAGCGCAGAGTAGGTCCCTCAGGAGATGTGCACCAGGCACCAAGTGAACTTTGCATCTAAGAGCGGGAGGCCTCGTGTCAATGGATGTGGCGGCTGAGCTCTCAGAGCTGCTAGTCAACAGGCTTTGGCCCTTCACCTCCAGAAAAGTGTGTGTGTGTGTGTGTG